GAATATTAACAACAGACTTTTTATCTGTAACTGGCTTTTTACAGCCGAGACAGCGCTGGGCTGCAAGGGGGCTCCTGCCACAGGAGGGGCTGGCCAGGGAGGGGCTGGCCAGCCTGTTCAGGGGTGAATGATGCACACTAAGCCAGGGGCAGAGGGCAGAATCTTCCCAGTGAATGTGGCACAGCCTGGGCAGCAGGTGAGACACAGACAGCGCTGGGGATGAGCCCTGCACCAGCATACAGCTCTTCTATCAATGACCCGGGGTCACTGGATAACACAACAGGGGGGGCACCTGCACAGGTGAGACGGGCAGAGCCCAGCCCCGGGCACTGGGCAGGGCAGGGAGCAGCCTGCAGCATCCGTGCCAGCTGGCAGCACCTCGGGCAGCCTGCGAGCCCCTGGGCAGGTGGGGTGGGCAGGGTGGATGGCTCTGCCCTGCCCAGCACAGCCCTGCCCAGCCCAGCCCAGCTCTGCTCCCTGCCCGAGCCCCGGGGCTGTGCCTGGGGAGCTGCAGGGCCAGGCAAGCCCCGGGGAAAGCACAGAGCAAGTTTTGCCAAGCCCTTGGAGGCTGTCAGGAGAAGTGGAGATAAGCCCTGCCCGGGTGCTGGGCAGGAAGAGCTCCTGGCACAAGTTCCCCATTATTGATGGGTTTAAAAATCTGCAGAACTGCTGTCCCGCTGCAGACTTGCCGAAATGAGGACATCACTGGCTGAAACTCCATGATTAGGGACTTTCTGCAGATGCCAGCATGTCGAAGGTTTGGAAGCCTGCAGGGGATTAAGAGCAGCACCGATAATCTGGAGCTGAAGGCTCCGTGGGGCCCTTCATTAGGAACTTCCCTCCTCAAGAGCTCTGTAAACTTCTGGATCAAACTGCCCAGATAAGTCTTGAAGGCAGAAATTACTGTGTCAGCGAGGAGGAAGGATTAGAGATAACAGGGAATTAATACTGAAATGCATATGCTATAAATATAACAGGATTACACTGCAGTTATGTAAAAGCCCTTTTCCTTCCCCGAGTCTCCTGGGCTGGGCAGGTGGGCACTCCCCTGAGGCCCTGCCCTCACCTGTGCCTCCCGGGGCATCTTTTCTTGTCATCTGAACAGGACAAGGGCGAATGGCTTCAAAGTGGCAGTGTTCAGTGGGATTTGGGGAAGGAATTGTCCCTGGCAGGGTGGGCAGGCGCTGGCACTGGTGCCCAGACCCCTGGGGCTGCCCTGGATCCCTGCAGTGCCCCAGGCCAGGTTGGACAGGGCTGGGAGCACCTGGGGCAGTGGCAGTGTCCCTGCCCATGGGGTGGTCCCTGAGGCCCCTTCCCACCCAACTGCCCTCAGTCCCAGGGTCCCTCCTGCCCCACTCCCCCGGAGGTGCAGGCACAGCCCCAGCCCTGCCCTGTCCTTGGGAACCCCCCCTGCCCGGGGGGAGCCCCCAGCCCCTCCTGGGGCCCTGGGAGAGGGGTCAGTGCAGGCAGGGACCCCTTGGAGAGCTCTGCCCCAGCTGTTCTGGATCTCGGGCTGCTTATTCCCTGCCTGGAAGTGAATATTCTCGGCCTATTTTTGCCCATTTCCTCCTCGTTCCAGGGCTTAGCAGAGGCCCTGGCTCACGGAGAGGGCTGAGAGCTGTCAGTCAGGACTTGGCCCAGCCTGCAGAGCCAACATTAACTTTGTCTGAGGGATGATAAATCCTGGGCTCGTACAGCACGGTGCTGAACTTGGAAAATGAAGCATTTAAACCACAATATTGCAGTCAAATTGCTGGTGAAAATCTCTTCATGTTGGCAGCGGAGCTGGAGGGTCTTTGATCTCTCCCAGCTCAGATGTTGCTGCCAAAGAGACTTAAGCTAAACTTCACTTTGTAAAATAGACTTTTTCTGACGCTTTCCTTTAAAAAAATAATCTCCTCCTAAGCTCAGGAAGCAGGGACGAGTGGGCAGCCCACAAGGAGATTTCCAACCCAAATAACGCAGGAAGGAGCCACTTTCAGCTGCTTCTATTGCCTCTGTAAATCCTGGGCTGAATCCCAGGAGCAGCTGGGGGGAACGTGGCACTGAGCCCCAGGAGTGGGAATGCTGGGCTGGGGCTGGGTCTGGCACCCCAGGAGTGGGAATGCTGGGCTGAGGCTGGGGCTGGCACCCCGGGAGGGGAAAGGCTGAGCTGGGGCTGGGGCTGGCACCCCAGGAGGGGAAAGGCTGAGCTGGGCTGGGTCTGGCACAGGGGATGCTGCAGGGGCTGTGGAGGTGGCAGGTGAGGGTGGCACAGTGCTGGGCACAGGCTGGGAAGTGAAGATGTTTGAAGGTACAGGAGTGGGAATGCTGAGCTGGGCTGGGTCTGGCACAGGGGGTGCTGCAGGGGCTGTGGAGGAGACAGGTGAGGGTGACACAGGCTGGGAAGTGAAGATGTTTGAAGATGTCTCCCCAGCCGTGGGGCTGGTGCTGTGCCACAGCTGCCCGAGAGCTGGGGTGGAGCAGCCCTGCCATGGCATGGGGTACAGGGTCTGGAACGTGGCTGTGCCTCCCCTCCTGCAGGCAGGACTTTGGGACAGGGCTGTCACAGGTGGCACTGAAGGCTCCTGCCTCAGCTGAGCCCTCTGGTCATTTGCAGATGAGCTGCTATTTTTAAATCTCTCTCTTTTTTATTTTCATTTATTTTTCTATCTGCGGGTGACCCTAATTTTGGCTGAGAAGCTTAGAAAAGCCAAGAATGCAAGGTTACTCTAATCTTCTTGAAGTCTGGCAGTCCCCTGGGCCGCTGTGTGTGCCAGAGCCCGTGGCCCCAGAGCCTGGCTCTGCTTCACAGCCCTCCTGCAGGAGCTGTGCCAAACCCCAGCATCCTGCAGGTGCACCCTGTGCTCCCACACTTCCAGAGGTGCTGAGGGCCCTGGGGGACTGGGACGCTGGGCTGGCAGCACTGGCAGCGGGTCAGGGCCAGGTGGGTCCCAAATGGGGTTGGCTGAGCTCTGCTGAGAGGCTGAGGGCGTTGAGGGCTCACATCCCTCCCTGGCACAGGTGCAGCTCTGCAGGTGTGCAGCTGCCACGGCACAGTCCCTCTCTCTCAGGGAGTTGTTGTGACCCCGAACATTGGGGCAGTGTGTCAGGAGCCATCCTGGCTGTCCCCTCAGCCCAGCCAGGCTGGGGTGCTCCAGTCCCACTCCTGGGGTTAGCAGCAGTGACACAGTGCCCGAGGGCAGCCAGGCGTGCCAGCACGGGCTCAGCTCGCTGCTCTTCCTCAAGGGCTCCTAAGTCAGAGTCACTGAATCCCAGACTGGTTTGGGAGGGAAGGGACTTTAAATCTCCCATCCCACCCCTGCCATGGCAGGGACACTGCCACTATCCCAGGCTGCTCCAAGCCCTGTCCAGCCTGGTCTTGGGCACTGCCAGGGATGCAGGGGCAGCCCCCCTGTGCCAGGGCCTGCCCACCCTGCCAGGGACAATTCCTCATTCCCAGTATCCCATCCAGCCCTGCCCCTGGCACTGGCAGCCATTCCCTGTGTCTGTCACTGGAGCTCCCGATGCAGGGTCCCTCCTGGCTCCCTTGGGGGCACCTCCAGATGCTGAAGGTGCTTGGCAGGTGTTGGCATCGGGGCCAAGCCCTCGGTGCCAGCCTGGCACGTGGCGTCCCAGCGTGTGCCACAGCTGCCCGAGGGCTCCCCGGCAGCCTGGGCACCCCAAAGGCTGACCTCAAAAGCCTGCAGACAGACAGGAGTCTCACTTTATAAAAATATGTGAAGACCCAAACATGGAATATTTAAGCCCGTGTTATGCAATGGGAGCTCTTTTAAGTCGTGATTTGTAAAGGCAGTTCAGATAATTTCCTGAAAGACATTCTGCTAATGATTAATTTAGAATATGTTTAATTCAAGTTAGGGAGATCAAAGAGGGAGCATTTTCCCTGTAATGCCATCCGTGGTTTCACACCACATTCCGGGCACGGGGGGTGTCTGCTTTGTCCTTCCCCGCAATTCCCCTGTGGAGATCGCAGAGGGAAGAGCCCTGCAGGCGCTGCTGCTTTGGGGCAGGGGAAGGACGGAGAGGAGCCTCGGGCACGTCCCCGTGAGCTTTGCTCAGGGGAGGGACGGGGTGCTGGGATGTGCGCTCAGCCCTCCCCTCCTGCAGCACGGCTCGGGGGGCTCTGGCACTCCTTCCTCGGGGTCCAGCGGGGATGATTCGGGTTGGAGCTCCGTGGGTCTCTGCAGGGCCGGGCCAGCAGCGGGGCTGCTCCAGGGCAGAGAGGAGCCCCGGAGCCGGCAAGGGCTGGAGAAAAGGAGCTCAGGGGGGCCCTTCTCGGTGTCTGCAGCTCCCCGACAGCAGGAGGGACCCCAGAGGGTCGGGCTGTGCCCCCAGGGAACAGGGACAGGAGAGGGAGCAGCCTCGGGCGGACACCGGGAAAACTCCGTGGTGCCAAGGGCTCTCCCGCTGCCCAGGGCAGCGCTGGAGTCCCCATCCCTGCGGGGTTTAAAGCCTGCGGATGTGGCACTGGGGCATGGGTTGGTGCTGTCCTCGGCCGTGCTGGGGCTGGCTGCACTCGGGGGTCTCGGAGGGCTTTTCCACCCTCGTGTCCGTGATTACCTGGGGCAGGGCCAGGCTGCGGGCTGGCACTGGGGCATGGGTTAGTGCTGTCCTCGGCCGTGCTGGGGCTGGCTGCACTCGGGGGTCTCGGGGGGCTTTTCCACCCTCGGTGTCCGTGATTACCTGGGGCAGGGCCGGGCTGCAGGCTGGGCTGCCCATCCCCGGGGCACGGCTGCGATGCGTGGAACCCTCTTTATTCCCAGCACAGACACCTTCCTGGTGCGGCAGCGAGCCCCAGGCACGGGCTGCTGCGTCCCGTGGGCTTCCCACCGCAGTCCGCGGCTGCCGAGCGAGTGTTTGATCCGATAACGCGCTCATTTGATCCGATAACGCGCTCATTTGATCTGATAAAGCGCTATTTGATGGGATACCGCTCTCATTTGATCAGACAAGCGGCGCGTTCCGTGTAGGTGTCGGGAGCGGTGTTCCTGCCGCGTTTGGGGAAGGAGCAGGCAGCGCTGTCAGCAGCCGCCTTTGATCCGCGGCGATGCGCAGCGGCTCCGCTCGCCGGGGGGAATCAGCGGCGTGGCAGGGGTTAATGCTCAGACGCGGGCCGCCGGCAGAGCAGCGGCTCCGCAGCCCCAGCCGAAGGGCAGGAGGGGAGTTTGGGCGTGGTGGCCGAAGCTCCGCGCAGGAGCAGCCCAGGGCTGACCGCACAAGCCCCGTGTTTAGCCGGGTGTGGAGCCAGGCGAGGAGAGGCCGGTGCAAGCAGACCCTGCAGCGGGATAAAGCTTTTTGTCGGGCCGTGATCTCCCTACACAGCCGGCTCAGGTGTGACCTTCCTCCCCGGAGGTATCCCGACATTCCCACCTGGGCCTGGGCTTTTCATCCCTTCTTGTGGGGCACAACCGCCCCGGCGGGGATGGGAGAAGGTTCTGGAGCCCAAATGTCACCCAGGAGCCGTGTGGGGGCTGCGCTGTCCTTGGTGTCACCCCACAGGCTGCAGACCCCTCACGCACCCCCGGGCTCTGCCCCACGCCCCCCGAGCTGCCGCTGACCCTCTTTGTCCTGCAGAGAGATGCCAAGGGCCAGTACCTGTTTGACCTCCTGTGCCACCACCTGAACCTGCTGGAGAAGGATTACTTCGGCATCCGCTTTGTGGACCCCGACAAGCAGAGGGTGAGAGAGCCCCTGCCCGGGCTGGGGAGAGGCTCAGGCCTGTCCTGGCAGCTGGGAACAGGAGAGGGAGCTGGAACAAAACCAGGAGTAGGCAGTGGTGAGGGGCTTCCCCCAGCAGCCCTGCCCTGCCCTGCCCTGGGTGGGCTCTGGGTGCTCCAGCGGGGCCGTTCCCTTTCCCAGGGCACAGGGATCTACTCACAGCCTTGAGCCCCCAGGGGACTGGGATCTACTGACCCTGAGCCCCAGGGCACAGGGATCTGCTCACCCTGAACCCCCAGGGCTCCCTCACTGTGGATGGGACCTTCTGAGCCTCCTGCTCCCTTCCAGGGCCACTCACCACACTCAGGTGGCTTTTCCCACCCAGAGCAGGACTCCTTTTCCTCATCCTCTCCACCTTCCAAGTCACAGCTGTCAGTCCTTAATTGCCTTCTTTTCCTTTCAGCATTGGCTGGAGTTCACCAAGTCGGTTGTGAAGCAGATGCGGGGTGAGTGTTGCAGGAGGTCTGGGCAGACTCTGCTCCTTCCATCTCACGTGTATTCCCATTTCCTGCAGCCTGCCCCCTCGGGGGTCGGTTCCAGCCCCTGTGCCAGGAGCAGCTCCCCCAGAACTGTTCTGGTGGGCTGAGAGCAGGGTTATCCCCCCCAGCCCCGGGGCAGCCACGGCCAGCACAGGGCAGCAGCCTCCAGGGAGAGCAGGAGCAATGAGGGGCTGAGCAGTGGCATTTGGGAGCGGGCAGTGGGTTGGCTGGTGGGTGGCCAGAGCCACTGGCACCTCCCCTCAGCTCTGCCAGGGTCACCTGCTCTGGCCATGGCCCCTGCAGTGAGGAGTGCTGCCCCTCCTTCCAAGGGCAGGCTGGGGGGACCATCAGGTGAGCCCCCATGTGCCCTGGCTGGAGCGGGGTGCCGCGGGGTGAAGGGGACAGCCCTGCCCTCTGGTGACACGGTGTCCCCCTCTCTGCAGCCCAGCCCCCCTTCACCATGTGCTTCCGAGTCAAGTTCTACCCCACGGACCCCGCGGCGCTGAAGGAGGAGATCACCAGGTGAGGGTGGCCTGGCCGGGCAGGAGCACACGGGAGAGCTGGCTTTGAGTCAGGGAAGAGCCACGGGGATTTCCCAGGCAGCCCGCATGCTTTGGGGTTGTTTCTGCTGGGGGGAAAGCTCAGGAGTCCCCAGGGTGAGCAGGAGCTGCTGTGCCTGGTGGGGAGCACAGGCTGAGGGTGGGCAGCCCTGGCACAGGTGCCCAGAGCAGCTGGGGCTGCCCCTGGATCCCTGGCAGTGCCCAAGGCCAGGCTGGACACTGGGGCTGGAGCAGCCTGGGACAGTGTTGGTGTCCCTGCCCATGGCAGGGGTGGCACTGGGTGGGCTTTAAGGTCCCTTCCTGTCTGAGCCATCCCTGGGCTCTGTGATTAAAGCCCCTGGCTTGGTCTCTGGGTGCAGCCAGTTCCAGACCCCATTCCAGGGCAGAGCACCCGAGCACAGCCCCAGCTCTGTGCCACAGCTGCTCAGGCTCAGGAGCAGGCACTGGTGCCCTGCTGAGCACGTCCCCAGCTCGGGGTGTCCTTACCGTGCTGGGGCTGCCAGGTGTGGTGTCCCTGCCCCTGGGGTCCCCAGAGGCAGCCGTGTCCTTACCCTGCTGGGGCTGCCAGGTGTGGTGTCCCTGCCCCTGAAATCCCCACAGGCAGGCAGCAGTGTCCTGCTGGGGCTGCCAGGTGTGGTGTCCCTGCCCCTGGTCTCCCCACAGGCAGGCAGCCGTGTCCTGCTGGGGCTGCCAGGTGTGGTGTCCCTGCCCCTGGTGTCCCCACAGGCAGCCGTGTCCCCTGACGTCAGGAGCGCTGGCGAGGCGCTGCACGCAGAGCTGGCAGCACAGCCTCTCCTGAGCTTCTATCTTTAGGGGCTCCTCGTGCTGCTCTTCCTGGCAGCAGGAAGGACACCAGGGCCCCGTGGAGCCAGCGCAGCAGCTTTGGAAGGGGAGCTGTGCATCCCCAGCAGCCCCGGGCAGCTCTGCCTGGGCTGCAGCCTGCACGAAGGGCTCGGAGCTGGCACCTCTGTGGGACACCTGAGAGCCCCCCAGGCCAAAGGGGTCCCTGCCACGGGGTCTGAGAGGGACTCTGAGCACAGCCTGCAGTGCCAGGGGCAGGCTGAGCTGGGATGTGGGGGAGAAATTCTTCTCTGCCAGGGTGCTGAGGGCCTGGCACTGGGCAGCCTGGTCCAGTGTGTCCCTGCCCATGGCACGGGGTGCAGTACACAGAATTTCCTCCCAAAAGGGGTCCCTGAGAGGGACTCTGAGCACAGCCTGCAGTGCCAGGGGCAGGCTGAGCTGGGATGTGGGGGAGAAATTCTTCTCTGCCAGGGTGCTGAGGGCCTGGCACTGGGCAGCCTGGTCCAGTGTGTCCCTGCCCATGGCAGGGGGTGCAATACACAGAATTTCCTCCCAAAACCTGACCTAACTCTGCCTTCTGCCACCCCCACAGCCCCAGGCTGAGGCCCCCATGCTGCCTCTGCTTGCTGCCCTTTGAGGTGTGCCTGCAGCTGCAGCTGGAACCTGGGCTTAAAATTCACTTTTCCCTGGACTGAGTCCACTCTAATAGCAAGATTTCTCTTTAATGTATTTCTTATCTGTGAAAATTAATGGCTTACCTCGTGATAAACTCAGATTTGAGCAATGAGGTGTGACCGAGGACTGCAGAGTGCAAATCTGGTTATTTAAATTCATTTCCGAGCGCTCCATTTTTGCTCCTTCCCTCATGACTTATGTTTTACCAGCTAAAGGTTTTCCCAAACGCCACATGATGCAGCCCAAAATGTTACTTAGCTTTAAATTTATTGGAATGTGTGATTTTTCCAGCATAGTTTGTCCTTTAACTGGGCACAGAGACAGGGATGGGAGCACAGGAGGAGCTGGCCCTGGGGGATGCAGCGAGCACGGAGCAGGGATGTGAGTGCATGCAATGAGGGAGGGCACAGGAAGTTTAGGAAGGGGAAAATCACATTATGGGGAGCTGAACATCCAGGGGAAATGCAGCAGGCACTGGTGGGCTCCAGATCATGAGACCCTGGGCAGGGTCAGCCCAGCCAGTGCCAGGTTGGGCTGCTGGGAGAGAGGTGCCACAGCAAGTGCCTGGTGGCAGGTGTTCCTGTCTAAATGGGCTGTTTGGGTAAGTAATTTAAAGTGTGCCTGATGAGGGGACTCTGCTCCTGTGCCCAGGTACCTGGTCTTCCTGCAGATCAAGAGGGACCTGTACCACGGCCGGCTGCTGTGCAAGACGTCGGACGCGGCGCTGCTGGCTGCCTACATCCTGCAGGGTGAGCTGGGCAGCAGAGAGCCTCTGCCTGCCCAGGAGCCTGCCGTGCTGCCCTGCCAGAGCCCTCTGCAGGGCCCAGGGCACCCACCTGGGCTGGGCCGGGCTGGGCCGGGCTGGGCTGGGCCAGGCTGGGTTGGGCGAGGATGGCTGCTGGGCTCTCACCTGCAGGGACACACCTGCACAGTGTCCCCCAGAGCAGCCACACCTGCACACTGTCCCCCACAGCAGCCACACCTGCACAGTGTTCCCCAGAGCAGCCACACCTGCACAGTGTCCCCCAGAGCAGCCCCTGGGCTCACCCAGCCCCTGCCCTCCTGCCTGCTCTCCTGCCTGCTCCTGCAGCCTGAGGAGTTCACAAATTTGGGGCAGGTGGCTCACACAGGCAGCAGAGTGGACTGATGCCGTTAGTGCCTGGCAGAGGATCCCCCCTGGGAAGCAGCGGGGTGGGAGCGGGGCTGGGGGCTGGGGGCTGCCCTGGCTGGGATGGGGATGGGGTGCACGCTGTGCTCTGCTCCTGCTGCTCTTCCCCACTGATCTGTCTCCCCCCAGCTGAGATCGGGGACTACGACCCCGGCAAGCACCCAGAGGGCTACAGCTCCAAGTTCCAGTTCTTCCCCAAGCACTCGGAGAAGCTGGAGAGGAAAATCGCCGAGATCCACAAGTCAGAGCTGAGGTGGGGGAGCTGCGGGGGCGGTGACACCCAGAGCACCCCTGGCCCTGTTTGGGATTGTCACTCGTGTGTCACATCCAGCTGGGACCTGCTTCTGCCTCAGCCAGCACGGCCCAGGGTGACAGTGACCCTCATGGGGCAGTGACCCTCATGGGACAGTGACCTTCATGGGACAGTGACCCTCATGGGGCTGTGACCTTCATGGGGCTGTGACCCTCATGGGACAGTGCCCTTCATGGGGCTGTGACCTTCATGGGACAGTGCCCTTCATGGGGACAGTGCCCTTCATGGGGCTGTGACCTTCATGGGGCAGTGACCCTCATGGGACAGTGCCCTTCATGGGACAGTGCCCTTCATGGGACAGTGCCCTTCATGGGGACAGTGCCCTTCATGGGACAGTGCCCTTCATGGGGCTGTGACCTTCATGGGGGCAGTGACCTTCATGGGACAGTGACCCTCATGGGACAGTGCCCTTCATGGGGCTGTGACCTTCATGGGACAGTGCCCGGGGCCCTCACAAACCCCTGCTGCCCTCTCCAGGGACGTGAGCTGTAGAGCCATCAGCAATCCCCATCATCCCACGGCACTGCTGGTGCCTCTGGAGCTGTGTCCTGAAGCGTTCCCAGGGAAGGAAGTGGGTTTAACTCCCCAAAAACCCATCAGAGCCGTGTCCTTATGTGCCAGGGGCTGCTGCCCTCTGCCACCTTTCCTTCCCCTGATGAGAAGTTTGTGCTGCAAGCAGGGAATCCCTCCCTACATTTGGCAGATGCCTTCTGACCCCTGCCAGTCCAGCGTGGCTCTTGTGGTGCAGCTGGCAGGACAGGGTGGGCCAGGCTCCAGGGCTGGGCTCCCGTGATCCCATAAAAATGTGGTGGGAATGTGCTGTGGCTGGTGCTTCATTGTTAGCAGGATCCCTGCAGCTGCCTTTCACCTTCCTGTCTGCCATGGAATATTCTTTTTTCCCTGTTTTTCCCTCCTGCAGTGGGCAGACACCAGCTACTTCAGAGCTGAATTTCCTCAGGAAAGCCCAGACTCTGGAGACCTACGGGGTTGACCCCCACCCGTGTAAGGTAAAGCAGCTCCTGACCCCGTTCCTGAGGCTGCTGGGCTCCTCTCCGGGGCCAGTTGCCTGCTGAGGTGCCAGGGGCTGTCCCCGGTGCATCTGTCACCTCCAGCAGCTCTGGGGCTGTGCTCAGGGGCCGTGCTAGGGCCATCAGCCCTGTTCAGCCTCGGCCCCCTCCCTGGCCAGGGGGAGAGCACGGGGGAGAGGGGAGGGTGAGGGCTCTGAGACCTCCCAGGGGAGCTGTAGGAAAGCGTTTTCAGCAGAGACAGCTGTGACAGGGTGGTCGATGCCCTCCTGCAGAAGCAGAACCAGGTCAGTGACGTGGCTGAGGAGCCACCAGGCATTAATCTGGCTGGGACAGCCCATCCCTGTGCCCTGCCCAGCCTGGAATCCAGTTTGCTGCTGGGAGTGCTCTTCATGCACTGAGGATGTCACTGCGTGTGGCTCTCTGCTCATTGCTGGGGCTGGACTGGCTCAGGAGTGCCTGGACTGGGCTAGGGGCTGGCACCGATTGCTGGTTTGCACTGGCTGAGGAATCCCAGGACTGGGCTGATTGCTGGTCTGGACTGGCTCAGGAGTGCATGGGCTAGGGGCTGGCACTGATTGCTGGGGTAGGACTGGCTCAGCAGTCCCTGGACTGGGCTGATTGCTGGTCTGGGCTGGCTCAGGAGTGCATGGGCTAGGGGCTGGCACTGATTGCTGGTCTGGGCTGGCTCAGCAGTCCCTGGACTGGGCTAAGGGCTGGTTTGCACTGGCTCAGTGCCACCCGGGCCCTGGCTGGGCAGGGCTCCGAGGGAGGCAAGTACAGCTGGGGGTTATCGTGTTCTGGGTTAATTGCTATATATAATATATATATATTTAGGCCTTGGACGTCAGTGATCCTTGTGGGTCCCTTCCTACTCAGGATATTCTGTAATAATATAATAAATAACCAAATTAAACTATATATATATTATGGTAATTATATATACCAAATAAGTAGTGTATATCTATATAATAGCTATATATACTTAGAGTAATATAGTTACGATATATGTATAAAAATACATGTTAATTGCAACAATTATAACATGGTGTTATATTAATAGCATGAATTCTATAAATGTCAATATGACATTTAATATACATAATAACAGATAATTGTGACTCAGGATATTCTGTGATAATATAATAAATAACCATATTAAACTATATATATTATGGTAATTATATATACCAAACAAATAGCATATATCTATATAACAACTATATATACTTGCACAGAGTAATATAGTTACTATATATATATACATAAATATATCTATAAATACACATTAATCACAACAATTATAACATGGTATTATATTAAGAGCAGGAATTCTATAAATGTCAATATCACATTTAATAATAACAGGTAATTGTGACTCAGGATACTCTGTGATAATATAATAACCATATTAAAAATTATATATTATAGTAATTATATATACCAAATAAATAGCATATATCTATATAATAATTATATATACTTACACAGAGTAATATAGTTACTATATATATATATTAAAAAAAATATATAAATATACATTAATCACAGCAATTATAACATGGTATTATATTAATAACAGGAATTCTATAAACATCAATATGACATTTAATGTAGATAACAGACCACTGTGACATCCTGCTGGCAGCGCCAGCCCCTGGGGTGGTGCAGTGCCCATCCCTGGGGCTGGGGGCACAGTGACGTGCCAGCTGTGCCAGCTGTGCTGCCAGCAGCTGTACGAGCCATCCCTGGGGCTGGGGGCACAGTGACGTGCCAGCTGTGCCAGCTGTGCTGCCCAGCAGCCGCACAAACCCTCGCTGTTGCCTTGCAGGACGTGTCTGGCAATGCAGCCTTCCTGGCCTTCACCCCCTTCGGCTTCGTCGTCCTGCAGGGGAACAAGAGAGTTCACTTCATCAAGTGGTGAGTTCAGTCCCCGTGTGAGCTCACCTTAGTTCCAGTGTGAGTTTTCATTCCCAGTGTGAGCTGAGCCCACTCCCAGTGTGAGCTGAGCCCACTCCCAGTGTGAGTTGAGCTCATCCCCAGTGTGAGTTGAGCTCATCCCCAGTGTGAGTTGAGCTCATCCCCAGTGTGAGCTGAGCCCACTCCCAGTGTGAGTTGAGCTCATCCCCAGTGTGAGCTCGCTCCAGTGTGGTTTCCCCCAGGGGCTCCCCTCGCTCCCTGGCCACCCCCAGGCTGGCTGGCTGTGTGGGCACCGGGCAGTGCTCGGTGCACCCAGAGCTCTGCTGCCCCAGAGCATTGCTCTCTACATCTGTCCCCATTAACCTCCACCATCCCCGTGCCAGCCACACCCCAACCCCCCCAGCCCCCGGGAGCCTTCTCAGCTGTCCCTGGGTCACCACAGCACGCCCAGGTCTGGCCGGTGTGTCCCTGGCACTGGCACTGCCAGTGTCCTGGGGTGAGCCCCCGCTGACCCCCAGCTCCACTGGGGCTGCCCCCCACTCCAGCCCCGGGTTTGTGAGCCAGGGCTGCTCTCAGCACCCTGTGGCACCTCCTGGGATGGAGAGCAGGCTCTGGAAGCTGCTGGCTGGGCACAGCTCCCAGCTGCCTGTCCTTGTCCCCCCAGGAACGAGGTGACCAAGATGAAATTCGAGGGGAAGACTTTCTACCTGTACGTAAGTCAGAAGGAGGTGAGTGCTGCCCCTCCCGTGGGACATCCTGGGCACAGCGTGCTCCTCCCCTCGGCGGGCTCTCCAGGGATGGGGCAGCACCACCCCCGCCCTGCAGGGCAGGACATGGGGACAGCAGCTGCAGCTCTGGGCCAGTGCTGGGGTCACCTCCCCGCTCCTGCTGGTGCCCAGATGTGGGCACTGGACCCCACAGCCCCCTTAGCCCAGGCCAGGCCCCCCAGAGCTCCTGGCTGTGCCCTCCCTTGGGATTATTCCTGAGGTGCTTCTTCATTGCCATCATCCCTCAAAGTCAGCCAGAGCTCCTCTGGCTGGTGTTGGCTCCCACAGGAGCCATCTGCAGGAATTCTGAACAGCCCCTGGCTGTTCCCAAAGGCTGGGAGCTGTGGGCACATCTGCCCATCCCTCAGGGCAGGTGCTGCACCAGGCTGAGCCCTGCATCCCAAACGGCTCCAGAGCAGGATCTGCCCCTGCCAGTGCCACTCTCCAGCTCTGTACACTCCACTCTTTGTCTGTGGGATGAGCACCCCTCCCTGTTCTCCCCCTGACTCCCTCTCTTCCTCCTTTAGCTGCCCCTGCCAGTGCCACTCTCCAGCTCCGTACACTCCACTCTTTGTGGGATGAACATCCCCTCCCTGTTCTCCCCCTGACTCCCTGTCTTCTTCCTTTAGGAGAAGAAAATTGTTCTCACCTATTTTGCCCCGACGCCAGAAGCCTGCAAACACCTCTGGAAGTGCGGGATCGAGAACCAGGCTTTCTACAAGTACGTGCTGCTGTCTGGGCTGTCCTGCACCCCATGGCTGGGTGCCCACCTGTGGGCTCCACCCAGGCACCGGGGTCTGTCACTGGCCATGTGGCACCTTGTCCCAGTGGCCCTGGCAGAGCCAGCAGCCACCAAAAGCACCACTGCCCTGGGTGGGGTCTCTGCCCTGCAGGGACCCTCCCTTCCCAGCCCCTCTGTGCTCATCCCTCCTCAGCAAACTCCCATCAGGAAATGATAACTACTTATTTGGGATGAAGCCTGGAATGCCGAGCAGCACCATCCTGTTCGTGCCATCCTTAACCCAGGCCACTCTGTGCTTCGTAATGAGTTTTATTTTAATCAGCAAGCTGCGAGACAGAGCATGCGATGCATTCCCACCGGGAATTCTGCAATCAGCAGCTGCAATCAGCAGGTTTCACTCCTCATTACACGAACACGACATGAAATTGCAATATTGCTTTACAAATCTGCCTGTGATTAATCGTGGCAGTGAATCACCGCTGGGTGCTGCACCGTGGGCTGGCCTGAGGTGCTGCTGGGCACTCCTGGGGTGGGGAGGGGGTGGGATGGTCCCTCTGGGCACCCTGGTGGGAGCCCACCTGCCCAGGAGGGGCTGAGTCTGTCACCCTGCAGTTCCCAGGCCATGGGAGCCTTTCAGCCCCCCGGGGTGTCACTGCTGGTATAGAGAGTGCCAGTCCCTGCAGGGTGTCACTGCTGGCCCTGTGACCCCAGGCCCTGCAGAGCCCTTGGCCGTGTGTCTGTCCTGGCTGCCGGCAGGGATGGGCTGTGTCCATGCAGGAGCCCTGTCCTGCTGGCCAGTGGCACCTGGAGCAGCAGCAGTCACAGCCCCAGGGCTCTGCTCCTTCACCTGGCCCTGCTGCCAGTGCTGGGCAGGGCTCTCACAGCGCTCCTGGGCTCTTGCAGGTTGGAGAAGTCGAGCCAGGTGCGGACGGTGTCCAGCAGCAACCTGTTCTTCAAGGGGAGCCGCTTCCGCTACAGGTAAATCCTGGAGAGGTAAATCCTGGAGAGGTAAATCCTGGCACAGGTAAATCCTGGTGCAGGTAAATCTTGGTGCAGGTAAATCCTGGTGCAGGTAAATCCTGGAGAGGTAAATCCTGGTGCAGGTAAATCCTGGTGCAGGTAAATCTTGGTGCAGGTAAATCCTGGAGAGGTAAATCCTGGCACAGGTAAATCCTGGAGAGGTAAATCCTGGCACGGGTAAATCCTGGCACAGTAAATCCTGAAATCCTGGAGAGGTAAATCCTAGCACGGGTAAATCCTGCCGCAGGAGCAGCTGCTGGGTGTGCTACTGTGTGCTCCTCGGGGAGCAGCTTGGGGCTGCAGCAGCCCAAGGACACCTCAGGGTTTTCCAGAGACCCCCCATTGCAGCACTGACCCCACCAGGCCACCTGCACCACTGTCCCTGTGTCACAGAGGCCACCCCTGTCCCCAGCTCACAGGAGAGGGTTTGGAGGGACAGGAGTGGAGGATGGGAAATCTGGGGGTTGAGAATGAGGTGTGAAACAAACCACTACTGTCCCTAAACTCCTGTGCTGAGCTGCTGGAGCGAGAGCCTGGACTGGGGACCTGGTGTCCCCAGCATGGGGCACCCCAGCATGTCCCCTCAGCGAGCACAGTGCTGGCACCCTCCTCGCTGGCATGGGAGGAGCTGGATGCCCGTGTTGTGTCCATCTCAGCTGAGGGGAGGTCACCCCTGGTGTCCACATCCCATGCCAGAAAAAGCAGCAAAATATGGTGGCAGAGGTGTCACGCAGCCTTCTCCATCACCCCCATTCCCCTGGAGCAAGCACCCCTGCTTTCCCCGGGAGCCGAGTGGGGAGGGGCCCAGGCTGTGTGTGGCTGCCAGGGCTGTGCTCCTGTCCTCACCCTGCTGCTCTTGACCCTCCTGCAGCGGCCGTGTCGCCAAGGAGGTGATGGAGTCCAGCGCCAAGATCAAGAGGGAGCCCCCCGAGATCCACCGGTGAGAGCCTGGCAGCAGCTGCCAGGGGCGGGAGACCGGGGTGGGAGCGTGCCCGGGGTGGCAGTGTGGTCAGGGTGGGAGTGTGCCCAGGGCACTGCCGTGTGCCTGGGTGGGAGTGTGCCCAGGGTGGGGGTGTGCCCAGAGTGGGAGTGTGCCCAAGGTGGGAGTGTGCCCAGGGCATTGCCATGTGCCTGGGTGGGAGTGTGGTCAGGGTAGGAGTGTGGTCAGGGTGGGAGTGTGCCCAAGGTGGGAGTGTGCCCAAGGTGGGAGCATGCCCAGGGCACTGCGGTGTGCCTGGGTGGGAATGTGGTCAGGGTGTACCCGCAGCGCTGGCTCTGCCCTGGCCCTGATCCTGTCCCCGCTGCTGTCCCCAGGGCCGGGCTGGTGCCCAGCCGGAGCTGCCCCTCCATCACGCACGGCCCCCGGCTGAGCAGCGTGCCCCGCACCCGGCGGAGAGCCGTCCACATCTCCATCATGGAAGGTAGGACACGGGGCAGCCCTGCCCGACGCGCTGGGGCACGGGAACACACGGACACAGGGACACAGGGACACACGGCCAGGGCACACGGACACAGGGACACACGGACACAGGGACACACACACAGGCTCACGCACGGCCCCCGGCTGAGCAGCGTGCCCCGCACCCGGCGGAGAGCCGTCCACATCTCCATCATGGAAGGTAGGACATGGGGCAGCCCTGCCCGACGCGCTGGGGCACGGGAACACGGACACAGGGACACACGGACAGGGCACACGGACACAGCGACACACGGACAGGGCACAGTGACACACACAAGGACACACACAGAGACACATGGACAGGGCACACGGACACAGGTGTGCACAGAAACACAGGTGTGCACACAGACACAGGTACACAGATGCATGTACACACATGTGCACAGAGACACACACGTGCACACACACACACGTGCACACACACACACACACGCGCACACACACACACACACACGTGCACAGTGTCCAGCTGAGGCCACAGCCCTGTGGCTTGCTGTCAGCAAAGCTGGTGTTGCAGCCGGCTGGAGCAGGGAGGCTGCTCCCGGTCCTGGGGCTGTGTCAGAGTAGGAGGCACTGGGAAGAAGGTCTGGCACTGCAGAGCACTGGGAGCAGCTGTGGCGGTGCCCCGCAGGGCTGGGGACATGCTGGGGCTGTGGCTGTGTTACCTGCTGCTCACAGCAGTGTGACTCCCAGTGACAGGGCTGTTCCCTGCCCCTGGACGGGGCCAGCCCTGCCCCTGCTCAGCCACCCTGATCCTGGTCCCAGAATGCAGGCAGGGACAGGACTGTCTGCCCCCTGGGCAGGATTTAATTCCACCAAGGGATCCCAGGGTTGGTGGCTGTGCCAGTTTTGGGGATGGAAGCACACAGGGTCACCTCTGCCACGCAGTTCCACGTGACAGTCTGTCCCCAGATGCCGCTGGGAAGCGGCCAGTGCGTTAAATCACCTCCCACCATAAATCACCCCGAGCTGGTTCCACCCCTTTGCTTTTCCTCACTCTCACTTCAGCTCGGTCCCGTGGGAATGCGGGCGCCCAAAATAGTGCTGAGCCCAGGGCCGGCAGCAGTGCCCCTCTCGGAGCTGTCCCCGCACTGCTCGTGTCCCCGTGCCCCGGGCCACCATGGTGAAGTGCCTGGTAAAGATTAAAACCAGGGTCAGCGTGCACCTGTGGCTCATCAACCACTGCTGCCGGGGGGTGCGGGTGCGGGTGCTGGCCCTGGGCCCGCGGCTGCTCTCCCGGGCCCTGGGCATCCTGCCGCTGCTGCCGGCTGCCCCCAGCCTCGGCCACCCTGCTCCCGACGGCGCCGGGGAGCCGCCCGAGCCAGGTAACGCTGGGATCTCCTGGGATCTCCTGCAGCTGCACGGGGTTCCCATGGATTGGTTCCTGTGGTCGGCTGGTGAGCAGGGGGGCAGGAATGGGGGTGCAGGGTATGTGGCAGGGAGAGGGCTGGGGTCTCCCAGGCTGGCCGGGCTCCAGGTTGTTGTTACCACACCAGCTCTGGTGGTGGGGCTGGACTCTCGGATTTCCAGCATTTTCCAGCTTCTGCTGCCAGTCCTGTGGGAGCAGATGGCAGGAGGGTTTGGGTCTGGGGGCCAGCACGGCTGTCACTGTGGTGATGAGCGGTGGCACCCCCTCAGGGGCTGTCCCCCGTGTCGGGGACACAGCGGGTGCCGTGGGGAGCACTCCCATGAGAGGGGAGAGCGCAGAGCTGGCAGGGTGAGAGCGTGTTCCCTCCTCAGTGCCCGGGAGCCCGGCGTTGCTGTGGCACTCATCCGGGCAGCGCTCACAAAGGAGAGGCTGCAAATCCCCGGGAATGCGGCCGGATGAGCTCCGGGTGCTGCCCTTCACCCTCCGGCAGCCAGGCCGTGGTGACAGCATGTCGAGGTGCTTCAGTGCACTGTGCTCTTCCCCCGGTGACAGGTCCAGCCCCGTCCCTCTCCAGCCGCCTGCAGGGTGGCCCTGGGGACCAGCTGGTCCCCACCATGACCTTCAGACACCCTCCCTGGAGCTGGGGCCGCTGCAATAGCAGAGTTCCTATCCCCTCCTGCCTGCCAGAACCACCTGAAACAAGTCCCTTATGTGTGTGGTTTCTTGGAATTTGGGGATTTAGAGGAGATGTTGGTAGGGGCAGGAGTTCCTTGGCACAAAGGACCAAAGCTCAGCCTGGTACAGGGCTGGGGCTGGCACAGAGCTCCTGCCACAGCTCCTGCTTGGCTGTGAGTGACATAAAACATTTGGTTTGTGGTGAACTCAGAGCAGCCTGTGCTGCAGGTGTTCCTGCATGTGATGGGGATATCTCCCCTGTGTGCTGAGGGACCCCCACCAGCCCAGCACGACCCTCTGCTCGCGCACCTCCAGGGTTCTCATCTCTGCCCCCCATCCCTGCGATGGCCGTGCCCCCAGCCCGCTCCTGTCTGTGTCACCCTGTCCCGGGCAGGTGCCCGTGGTGCTGCAGTGCCACGGCTGGCAGTGCCAGCAGCAGAGGGGCCCCAAGCACTGCGGGCAGCTGCCGGGGGGCTGTCACTGTCACCTCAGGGCAGCAGGAGCCCGCGGGTGTGTGTCATTGCCCGTGGAACAGCCCGGACCCTGCCGCGGTCCCGGCTGGCAGCCAGCGGCTGGCGGTGCCGGTGACAAGCCAGGCGGGTGTCGAGGTGTCACCGCCACAGTGACAGGTCCTGTTGAAGGGGCTGCAGGTCCTGAAGGACCAACAGCAACAAGCAGCAGCGACCCAGGGCAGCCGCCGCGCTCTGTCCCGCGGGGACACCGGTGTGGGCAGTGCGGGCAGCTCCGGCTGGGGAGGGGAACCCACTGCACGCCCTGAGCGTCCCCTGCCCTGTCTCCCCAGGCCTGGAGTCCCTCCGTGACAGCGCCCACTCGACCCCGGTGCGCTCGGCTTCCCACGGCGACGCCTTCGCGGGCCCGGGCCGGAGCGGCCGCGCCGAGAGCAGCGAGCGGGTGGCCGTGATCGCCGACGAGAGCTACAGCCCCGCGGACAGCGTGCTGCCCACGCCCGTGGCCGAGCACAGCCTGGAGCTGATGCTGCTGTCGCGCCAGGCCAACGGGGCCCCGTGCAGCATCGAGGAGGAGAAGGAGTCGGAGGCGGGCACGCCGGCGGCAGAGGCGGAGGGCGAGCTGCGGGCGCTGTGCCCGGGCGCCGGCGGCCTGGGGCCGGCACAGGCCCAACAGGTGAATAAGTTTCTTTTAAGTGTCCTCCGTTTGCTCCTTGTGACAGTTGGACTCCTCTTTGTTTTGCTCCTCCTCCTGATCGTCCTTACCGAGTCCGACCTTGACACTGCCTTTTTCCGCGATATCCGCCAGACCCCAGAGTTCGAGCAGTTCCATTACCAATACTTTTGTCCCCTCAGGCGATGGTTTGCCTGCAAGCTCCGCGCCGTGGTAAACCTGCTCATTGACACCTGAAGGCAGGAGCCACCACGGGGGCCTGGACCTGCCGCCGTCACTCTCTAACCCTCCCCTCCCGACCCCAGCCCGGCCGGCGAGGAGGCGGCTTTCCGGGAGGAAGAGGAGGGTGGGCGCAGCCCCCGGAGCCCCCTCCTCCCCGTGCTCCCAGCCCCGGAGCCCGCACAACACCTCCCGTCCCGATCCCCCGCGCACGACTTGGGAAGCACCGAGCAGAGGGGAATTATTTGGATTCTCTGCTCTGCCGCCCCGGCCGGGGCTGGCGGGGCCGTTCCGCAGGAGCTTTAGCAATGGTGCTACTGAGGTTTCATTTAACACTCGTGTACTGTCACGGTACTCAATCCGCACTGTGCCCGCGCCCCCGCCCTCCACGAACCGCTTGGCAGAGCCCTCCCTGCTCACGGAGCCTCCCAGGAGGTGACACAGCCGCCAGGCTCCGGGACGCCCCGTGCCCTCCTCCCGAGCCCTCGCCCCGCTGCGGACTCGGCCCTTCGCCACTTTTTCAAGCCTTGAAGCATCGGTGCTCCCGAGGGCAGGGGAGCATGGAAGCCAGGGGACGCCAGGCACGCGCGGCCAAACCTGGCGTGGAGCTGAAGTGACTGTGTCAGATTTATTGGGATGACCTTTACCCTCCGCCAGTTGTTCCTGTTTTGTAAAAAAACCAAGCAAAAAGAACAAAAAAAACAAACAAAAAAAGAAAGAGAGACATTTCAAGGTCTATTTTAACAAGGAAATGCTATTTTGTTATCAGATCTAATCCAGTCTTTTTTTACTTTACGGATGGGGTGACCGTGGGTGCCGCGACCGAGCGGCTCCCAGTGAGCAAAGGTTTCAGAGGAAACGCCGGGAGCCCAAGGCCAGCCGAGCCCTGCTGGGCTTGGGACAGAGAAGGAGCTCTGCTTTTGGGACTCTTCCCAAGAGGACACAAGTTTGGAAGCGCAGGTGACACTGACGAAGCCAATGGACACCTTTAGCCCCAACCATCATTGAGTGCAAGTCAATAAACCCAACTCATCGTGCCGGTGATGATCCCCAGGCTGTTGGTCACCAGGAGCAGCAGCAGCCCATCCACAGGCAGCAATAACAGCCAGTTCTGGTCAGGTTGGGGTGACAAGTTGGACACATCAGGAAAAAAAAAAAAAAAAAAAAAAAAAAAAAAAAAAAAAAAAAAAAAAAAAAAAAAAAAAAAAAAAAAAACCAAACCAGAAGGGTGAAAACAGCTGAGCAAGTTTAATTTCATCTCAGGGAGAGATTTTTCTGTAAGCTGGGGCCATAACTGCAGTTTTACAAAGCCTGATGTCCGTGTTGTCTTTGAGCACCCAGCAGCCACCGGCGGGCGGGACGGTGACGCTGGGCCCCGCGGGCTCCCTGTCACTGCAATAAGGGGAGAGGTCCCGTCGGGGGCACAGCCCCCCTGCCCGCGTCACAGCGCTCTCAGCACGAGCCCGAGGAGGGCTGGGGTCCAGCCCCGGCTCCAGAGCACGGCAGGAGCCCTGGGGAAGGCTCCAGGAGCCCCGGGGAAGGCTCCAGGAGGCGGAGGAGCGAGTTTTTTACATGATAATCCTGTTTTATGCAACATAGCAGAATTAACTCTTAGTGTAGTGTTCCTACCTCAGCCCATAGCGCTGATGTTTCTATGCAGTTGTGCTCGTCCCGACGCTGACATTTTTTACCCCGGGTTAACGCTGCAGTGTCGTCCTTCCTCCTCCTCCTCCTCCTCTCCTCACGGCAATGTTCTGTGTGACGTGTGACAGCACAGCTCCATCCCACGTGCTCCATCCTTCTCGGACACGTCCTCGGAGCCCCCAGCCGGGCCCTTCCACCTTGGCTTTCCTCGGGTACCGCTCTGTGCCAGCCCCAGGTCACCTCTGCCGCTGTCCCCCAGCGTTTTACTGCAGAACCACGAGAATTGGTGATTTTCCGTTGTCCGTTTCTCCCGTCGCTCCCAGATCCTGTCGTGTGTTTCAGGCCCTGTTAGTTTTACCCGTCTTTCTATCAAAATGTTGTTTCCATAGGTTCTGAGATCAGAAACCCATGAATCTCGTCCTAGCATACTGCATCTTTCAGCAGTAGACAGTAAAATACCTGAAAATGTGAATTTCTTAGTTTTCATAAAGAAAACCTAGAGATTAACCTTTCATGTGCCAAATACTGTAAGTTACATCTTTTTTTCCTTCAAAATGTACCTTTTTCTACATATCCAATACCTTAGTTAGCATAAAATCATTGGTGCCATGAAAAGTATTTTTAAATTTAAATAAATATTTAAATATCATGAAAAGCAGAGTCGGGATGAGCTTTGTTCAGCGATTCTGATTTTTCTTGTGAAAACAGCTCAAACGGTGAGAAATTTGGTCTTTTAGCAGCTTCTCACTGGAGTGAGAGTTCCAGAGCTGCAGGTGAGTGCCTCGCATGTCTCTGTACTCCAGGAGCCCAATTTTACAAATGCACCCAGGAGTTTTGGCCCCCTCAGCACAAGGAAGGAACTGAGGGGCTGGAGAATGTCCAGGGAAGGAGCTGGAGCCCCAGGAGTGGCTGAGGCAGCTGGGGGCTCAAGGATCACTTTTATTTCCATGGAAGACATGGGTGCCAAAGGCAGTTTAAACTATTTATTTTAAGACTTTCAAAGTACACTTCTGTCCTGAGAAACAACAATCAGCTTCAGAACTGCTTAATACAGAATAAACAAAGTCAGTGCAGGAAGGTAGAAAATGAAGACCTAAGACACTTCTATTTGAACACGTGGAGGCGGCCACTGGAGTTGCCTCCCACCAGGATGTTCTGGCTGGGGTGGACCACGTTGATGGAGCACACGGAGTTGAGGCAGTCCACGTTGTAGAAGGAGTGCAGCAGCTTCCCCGTGTCCTGGAAGACCTCGATCTGCCTGGGCTGTGCCATGCTGCCCACCAGGAAGCAGTGCTCCTGCTTGGGGTCCCAGATGGCCCTGAAGCGGCTCAGCCAGCGGCCCGTGTTGTTGTTGTGGCTGCAGGGAAGAGGAACATTCTTCCTTGTGAATCCAGCATTTTAAATCATCATTTATGTCCCATCTGCTCCCTTGCCTTCTAAACCTTCAGCACTCATGCTGCAGTGCTCAGATCCCTGCAGTGGATCCCTGTCCTGGGATGGGCAGGATGGCACAAGAATACCAGAATGGTTTGGGCTGGGAGAGACCCTAGAGGTGACCCAGTGCCACCCCTGCCATGTCAGGGACACCTTCCTCTGTCCCAGACTGCTCAAGCCCTGTCCAGCCTGGCCTTGAGCACTGCCAGACATCCAGGGGCAGCCCCACTGCTCTGGCACCCTGTGTCAGAGCCTCACCACCCTCAGAGGGAACGATTCCTTCCCAAAATCCCATCCTTCTCTGGCAGTGGAGCCATTCCCTGTGTCCTGTCCCTCCACAGGCGCAGCCACGGCGCTGCCCTGGCCCAGGTGTGCTGTCCTTACCTGATGGAGCTGAGCAGTGTGACAGTGGGTGACAAGGACGTGGTGTCGTAGACCCTGGGCACAGAAGAGCACATTAACACCAAGAACCTGTGCTAGAAAGCCAGCCCTGCCTCACACAGAGCAGCTGGGGCCCTGGAGTGTGCACAGACACCCAGCTGGAAGCACTGCATGTGCTCAGAGAGCTGGAACTGCCTTCAGCTGCACCTGCAGCCCACCCTGGCAGCTCTGGAGGGGCTGCAGGGCCCCAGGGCCAGCCCAGCATCCCACCTGCTCCTCCACCCCATGAACTTGGGGTCCCACCCTCGGGGCCAAAACTGCCCAGCCCACCCAAAATCAGGTCATCATCTGAATTCGGTCACAAAGTAACCAGGAGAAGAAGAACCTCTAACACGAGCAACTCACAGCAGCTCAAATGATGAAATGATAGGCTATTTACAGAAGAGCTGATACCATCATCATTTCAAGTACCAGCTACAAACAAATTTAGCTTCTGAGCATTTTGTGTTTGTGTTCACCAGCCAGGTTTTGGCTGGCTGTTTTCGTGGGGTTTGATTTTGTTTGTTTTTTAAAGATTAACAGCAACTGTATATTTTTCTTTTAAATATCCTAAGGGAAAATGAGAATTGGGGGAAAAACCAACCAAACCAAAAGATCATCAAGAACTACATAAAAAATATTAATGCAAGTAAATATTTTAAATTTTTTAAAAGTGATAAAGACAGAAGGTGCTTGATGATGGGTCATGTGGAGGAGTGATAATAATAATAATAATAACAACAACAATAATAATAATATTATTAATAATAATAGTAATAATAATAATACCACAGCCTTACCTCAGCTTGTCATCAGCACACACGGTCACCACCCTGCTGCCAGTGACAGGTGAGAAATAGGCTGAGGCCACACTTTTGGTGTGTCCTGTCAGAGTGCTCAGGGGCTTGTTCTCCTTGGTGTTCCGAAGGTACCGAACATCAAAAACACAAACATCCCTGCAACAGGTACCACAAACACTTCAGGAATTATCCTTCATTCACCAAAAGAGCTCCAGAGCACGGCAGGCTGTGTGGGAGCTGGTTCAGAGCCTCAATATCCACTCAAATCGTGGCTCTGAGGGATTTTGGGAGTAACAAAACCACCCCAACCAGCCCTCCATACAAAGTCCACCGGGGCCCATCTGTCCCCATTTGATTTGGGAAATCAAACCAAATCCCACCTTAAATCCTGCTAAGGACTGAGAACTTGTTTCCTACAAGGACCGAGACAGCTCTGACTGTAAATCAAGGCTGAGAACCCCCTCAGCCCCAGCTCTCCCCAGCCCAGAGACCACTGAGAAAACAGCCAGTTCAGTCTGGGCTACGTACACGGACCCAGCAGCCAGGAAATACTGTTTTTTCACGGGGTGCACGTGGACTGTCCGTATCCTCCTGAAGCCAATGTCCACAGAGAGCTCCGAGGACACCCCTGGCGTCCGTCTGTCCACAAGAGCCACGGGCCCAGCCCACTGACTCACTATGGCAGTGCAGGCATTCTCTTCCAGGAAGTCGAAGCAGGACAAGTCTTCCTCACTCCTGCAGACCTGAGCCCAGGGAAGGTTAAATGTCACCAGAATTAAAATAAACAGGCAATTGTGCTAACACCCAAACACTCCCTGGGCTATGGGTTTCATCTTTTCCCTCTTTAATTCACTAAAAACCATGCAGCCCATGTGACAGCTTCATCCAGCTGTGCAGGTAAACCCTTCTGTGAAACAAGGATGCTTTCCACAGGGGAAATAATCAGGAGACAATTAACCATCCAAACCAGACCAGCACCAGCACACTCCGAATTCCCTGTCAGAGCTCCTACAAGGTACTGTCACCTCAGTGTTCCAGCAGTCAAAGAGCTGTTGGCCTTGAGCACACACTGAGTGAGGATTAATGCTATCTTTCCCTTCTCCAGTGCTCCAGAAACTTTTAATCATGTGCAGAAATGTAAACTTGGAAACTGGGAGAACCAAGGCTGTCACTGGGTTTTGGTGAGTAGGAAACATCTCCCTATTTTATGTGATGTTAATTTGTTGGTTCACATGTCCTTGTGGAACTAGAACCTGAACTTTCCTGTTAATAAAACAACCAAAGAATGAGTTGGTACAAGCAGACCAAACCTTCCCAGCAGTGCCTCACCTCATCAAAGACAGCCTTGGTGACATCGCCACAGCGCAGAGTGTTATTGCTGAGGGACAGCAAGTGAGCAGGGTTGCAGGGAGAGAAGTGCATGCAGTTCACATGGAAGCTGTGGGGGATGAACATGTGGGCTCCTTCCTCCGTCCCGCAGCCCTGCAAAACGACAGATCCCACAGACACAGGTGCTGATCACTGCAGCTATTTCTGTTACTGACTACAACTCCCAACGCCAAAGCTCTGTCTTTTCAATGTTTTCTGGAGGAGGCAGAGGGTGCTGGGTGAGAGGAGACAACAGCACAGGTGATATGGACAGTGAGACTGCTTCTGGTCCCTGATTATGGAATGCTGCAACTTCCTGCTGCAATTTGTGCCACTGCAGCCACCAGCCCTGGATCTGGACAGCAGCACCTGGCTCATTTTCAGCCACACAGCTGGTTTCTGCTACCACATCAAAACATGGACACGCTGGGTTACTGAGAGTTCAGGCCGAATTAGTGACCCAAACTGCATGAACCCAGGATCTCCTGTGTCTTCTCTTCATCATTTTGATAATTTAAAAGAAACTGAACAGGTCATTTTGGACCAAGTTCTGGTTCATCCCACAAAGATGATTCTGCTCTCAAACTTCAGAAAAATACAAGGGAGAGCAAAAGGGCAAGCCGTTCTGGCAACATCTGACAATCACTCTTGACAACCACCAGGTATTATCCCTAAGAATGGAAAAATCCTAAAACACTCTCAGGAGCCTGACAAAATGCCACCCCAGGCTATGCCCCACCTGCAGCTGTCCTGAGCCACACACCTGTTCAGGTGAGGAGCACATCAGCCACTCACCACATTCCAGAGGCCAACGTGCCCAAACTTGTCTCCAGCTGCCACGAGGATGGTGCTTTCGGAAGGGTGGATGGCCATGGAACACACCCGGGATTTCACCACCTTCCTGATGTTCTCCTCCCTCAGCACCATGCTGCCCAGGCTCTCCTGGTACCTGGGAAACCAAAATGACAACCATCACCAAAACGTTCACTAGGGAAGGAAGGGGGGCCAGACAACCCCCAGTTCTGGCTGCTGTTTTCACAATACCTCTTCATGTCAGGTGTGCCCCGCTCAGCATCATCCGCTTTCACCTACAGACAGAAAGGAGGTATCTAATCAAAACCAGAGCCCAAGAGAAATTACATGACCCAAAATTAACAAATAAAACCAGGAATACCTCACTTATCCTCATCCACGTGCTCAGTAAGGCCTCTGTCCTTTTACTGCTGGCCACCTGGCCCTCTGGAAGCATGGGCAAAGGTCCGACTGGAACTGGAGGCTGGGAGGACATTGGCAATTTTTGTAACTCAAACCAACTAAACCACAAACTAGGAGAATTGGTACTTTTCCCTCACCAGACATTCTGAGAACATGCCTACAACAGGACAGGAAACAAACCATGAAAAGAGAAGGTGATATCATGACCTTATTAAAAAGATAAAGAGAATTTCACTGGCAGCACAGACCAACTGCCTCCCTGGGTTTCTTCCTCTCCTGATACTCCAGCAAGACCTTTACTACAGATTCAAATCTATTCTACAGCTCCACGGAAGATTTAAATTCCCATCTCTCAGAACAACATGCCTTTTACTTGTTGCTCCATCACTGCATCAAAGAGATGGTAAATATTACCCAGGAAAATAAAACCAGTTCAGAAGTTACAGTGAAATAAAAACCAGAGTAATAAACCTTTGGATTTAAGGCTGCCCAGCTCCATGGGCTGTTGGTATGGGATGTTCTACCTCAGGACACTTCTGTGAATCCCCAGCTGCACCATGCCATCAGCCTGGGCCACAGAGCACTGCCTGGCTCGTGTGAGACCGTGGCACCTGCTCGGGGTGACTGAAGTGACCCTTCCTTCCTGTCCTGTGTCACAGCCCCCAAAAGCCTCAGCGCAATGCCCAGTGCCACCCATCGGTGTCACCAGCAGGGGCTTTCCAAAGCTGCTGTGCACCCTCCCCTGCTGCAGCCCTTCCCATCTCACATATTCCTCTGCTTCTGGCCGGGAAAACGTGTCCAGCAGCGGGATGTCCAGCGGAGGCTCCACCCTGAGCAGGCGCATGGATCGCCGCAGCGCTGGCTCGTCCTCCACCTTCTTAGGCTTGGGCCTGGAACAACCAGAACACCTCAGCTACACAGCAGAGGTTAGGGACAGACCCAAGGCACAGCTGGCTGGCACCAGCCCCTCCTGGGCCTGCTTTTCCACCCACAGCAGTGAGGAACAAAGCCACGAGCACTCGCACACGCAGGTGCTGCCCCTGTTTCTCTGCATCCCTTCCCAGCTCTCCTCATCATTATCCACCCAGCCATTCCCACCCTCTCCCATCACACAGCTCACTCTTTACTTGGGCTTCAGCTCATCTGCTTGACCTGGCATTGTTTTGCCACAGCCAATGTCTTCTCCTCCACATTTACTGGTTACCCTCTCCCTTGCACCTTGGTCACACTCTCTCCTTTTTTTCCCCTCACCTTTTCCCAACATTTGTTTTCCTCCCACAATGAAAAACCAAGGATATAAATCTCATCTACTGTTACTGTACCTTTTAGTGACCTGAGATTGCCTTTTAGTGGTAAGTTGGTTGAGTCTTGCAGCTGACTTAAAGAGAAAAAAAGAGACTAATTATAGATAATGAGCCTAAAGAATTAACCTGTATAAAATACAATTATCTCAAGGCAGCGATGAACTTACTGCAATTATTTATAGTAAGAAGAAAGAAACTGTGGTTGCCCCATTCCTCTAAGTGTTCCAGGCCAGGCTGGATGGGGCTTGGAGCACCCCAGACTTTGGGAGGTGTCCCTACCCATGGCAGGGGTGGAATGAAAGGAGCTATAAGGTCCTTTCCAAACACTCCAGGATTCTGTGATTTTCATGGCTTTCCTCATATACAGCTGCCCAGTGAGGAAAGGGTTTCACACCAGGAGAGATGACAGTGTAATTCTGACACTTGGAAAGAGCATTTTAATGCTATTTAGATCCAATACAAACCTCATGCAGCTTTAGAGCAGCAAAGAATTTAGCATTTTCTGTGATGTTCTTTAGTCTTTTCCTTTCATAGGCTGATAGGTGGGAGTATCCATCCTACAGAATGAAAAGACAGTCACTCTCCATCATACAGTTACATGGCTGCAAGAGTGGTCCCGGGCTCAGGGAAGTGAACCTCTAAACTGATTACATTATTTTTAACAAATATAATAACAAATGTAAGACCATACAAATTGGGATGGTCATGTATCAAAATCTGTCCATACAGGTCCAGTTTGCTTTACAAAACTTACTCTGGCATTAACTCTATGAAGAGAACTGTATAAAAAATTTAATAATGAAAGCAATGAAAAAGAGACTCAATAAAGAACTTAAAACTTTAGTAAAAGGATAAGATGAAGTAGGACACTGCCAGCCAGAGGTTAAGAAGGGGGAATAAAACCTACTTACAGACAAAAAACACTTAAAAGCTTTACTCTATGAAGATGCTCGCCGGGGGCCGGGTACTCACCGGAGCCGCGTCTCCCGCGTCGCTGCCGTCGCTGTCCGCATCCCGCAGCCAGTCCTGGCCGCGGGCAGCCGAGCTGGGGCCGGGCGGGGAGCCGGGGGCGGCCCTGGGGCCGCTGTCGGGCTCCAGGCGCAGCCTCTTGCCGGCCGGGGAGCG